TGGTATATCTAACCGCGGTGCAGTGGGCTCCACAACAACCTTTTGCACTGGTCAACGGTATATACTCTTAAAAAAGGCTAAAAGGGGATTGCCTCGTCTTGGTCTGATGTAGCCAAGCTACCTCCACTCACCTCCAAACTGCCCATACTTTCTTTTATATTTTTGTTCGCTTGCACGTAGGCATAAAACCTTTTGGGATTATGCTTAATGTGCTGTGCCAGGTTCCTTTCGTAGATATACTTTCCTTCTCGTTGCAGAGCCTGCGCCTTATTTCGAGCCGTCTTGTATTGACACCATGCCTGATGTGTGCCATACATTCGATAATNCGCCACCACACTGGTCTGTGGTTTCCACGCCTCGGACATAACGGAGCGAACTCGTCCATAAGCCGACATATACCTACTTGAATCTGACGCCATCTCTCTTCCACTATGGGCTCCGAAGACTCTGGAGTCCAAATGACCTGTTCCGCTGCTTCACGCAAGGCCGCCTCATTTATACGATTAGAGCACCGTACCAATGAAGCTTCTGGCTTCCTGTGCTTTTCCGTGAGCAGGCATCTCAACACTAGATGATCACTTTTGCCCAGTGGTTCTTCTAGTTTTATCTCGGTTACATCCGAAACGTATCTTGTTATGACTAAGTCCAAGACTGACGACCTCTGTTGATCCCTGAATTTTGTGGTCTGCTTAACTTCGAAAGGCACATTTGCATAACCGCAAGTAGCTCAGTGTCCTCTATGGATGTTGCTTGTGGTGCTCTGTACACACATTATACTCAGTGGTTTCCTACCTAAGAGCACGTTGCATGCTATGACCTGAATATTAGGTGTGGCTAGGGTGGTTTGTGCATTCCAATGGTTCATATTATTCTTGACCAAGATCAGCACTTCTCCCCCTTGTCTGCCATTCTCTCTATCCTGCCTGTAGACAGCACAGTTATTAGGGCAGTTCGTGAAGTGCTCTTTTTTTCGTGATTGCTATGATCACTGAACCTTGGATTCGAGTCCCCAGTTCGCCCCACTTACCTTTGTTGCTACAGGCATTTGTGTACCACACATTGGCAGCCTCTTCCTCCTTAGGATGGTGAGCTTGCCTTAATTCCAGCGAATCCTTCGTCGCAGGGCCCGAGGAACCGACTCATCTTTTGACTGCATCACTACATCACCGTCCAAGTCATGCCCCCTGGCGAGTTGATGACCTTCCCAAAAC